ATATTTTTCATTCCCAGCGTTGTTCCTGTTCATAAAACAGTGTCAGTGTTTCGGAGGCCTCTATTTCACATCGAGTAATTCTGTTCTCCAGGTCCATCGTGGTTTCGACTAGTGCTGAAAGTTGTTCCAGGAGCTCTTCTATGCTGTTAAGAATGTGTTCGTACTCGATTCGGGTTAGTGCGTCACAAATTGGTTGTCCATATCTGAAAAGTGGTTTGGTTTGCTGGTTTCATCATGAAGGGGGAAGTCAAGGGTCATAGCGTAAGATAGTGAGGTAACTAAGTGTGAGGAAACTTAATAGATCGTTGGACACGTGGGTCAATCGCCTTTATATATGGGTCCGGTTAGGATGGATGTTGTGTTTAACTTCACGCTGAGTCACCTGTTTCTACTCATTACGATAATTTTGGAGTTTGGTGTCGTTTTTTTCGAGTGGCCGTGTCATCGTGTTTCAATTTCAATGTTCGGCCTTCTCTAGGCGAATCGGCGGCAGACGTAGTCACGCGGCGCTTGCGGTTGAAAAAGTCGAAACGAGATGGCTAGGTAATGTATATTTAGCTGATGACGTCATGGTCTTTCAGCCTTTGGATTGTAGGTCCTTATGGTATATTGTGGGTTCACTTCTAAATTTAATTCTCTATATGATGTCTTGATTATGTTGATTTTCTAAAGACTTCGTATTTTCGCCTTGTTGTGTAATTGAGGGTGAAAATTCAACGATGTGTGTGCTGCAAATTTCGCAGCTTGACTCACTTGGCTAATGTCTTTGTCTCGCTATTGATTCGCTCGTTGTTGAGTGGACTCTCTCGTAGCAGGTTCGTGGACCTCTTCGACGGTGCAGTACCTTTTATGACTCATTAGAGGACACTTTTGCGGTCGACCATTGAGCTCCACCTGTATGTCCGTTCTAAATCCTCTTCTCAGTGCCTATTGATCAATTTATGATTATCAGTTCTCGTTTTATGCCATTTATTGTTAATTCAATATCGTTCATTCATGTAAAGATGTAGGTCTAATTTCAGGAGCAATATACTGCGGGCATTAGATTGGTTTATTGGGGTGGTAATTATAATTAGGATTGGCGGCGCAGTTGGTGGACGGTTTCGTTGATTTCGTTTTCAGGGTTTAGAAAGGACGTTAGGATTGGATATATTTATTATCGATATGTTGGAAAGAGAGATCATACATATTTACTAGAAATGTCTATCGTAATGATCATAAGATTGTTCATTCATATCATAATGATTGTTATTAAGTCTCATTCAGTAATATGTAAAGAGTGCGTAGAACATTTGCTGGAAAACTGTCATATATTGATACTTGGTCTCAAAAAAGTTTTTCACTCTTATAAGCAATCATCACCTTCTCGATTTTACATGTTCGAGCTGGAGCTGGCAGCAGATAATTGAGGAGAAAATTCGGGTGTACAAAAATATGTTGTAATTAATTACTTTAGAGGTAAATCGCATCATCGTGTGAAGTCGCTGTCGTTAAAAGCGTTGGTAAAATACTGGAGAATATTTTGACAGAATATCTTATGCCAGTTACAACAAATCTTCTCATAAGCGCTAAGAGTGACAAAAAGTCAGTGAACCGTTTAATAAAGCAACGCACACGAACCGCAGTATTATCTTTTTGTTGCATTTAGTGTACTCTTGTTCGTAGTTGAATCCTTGTCTGTTTAATTTTGCCTTCTGTGAAAGTACACATGTGCGTGCTTTGCTGAAGGTGTGTTGATAATTTTTGTTATATTTGGTTACGGCCGTTTTTTTGACACGGCAAAATAGAGGAACATGTTCATTGAAGTTTCACAGTGTGCTCGTCCATGTTGTGGAGACGTTCTTCGAATAAGGCGATCACTGCCCCTAGTATGGCGGCAAGCATGTCTTTTAACTGGGCAAGGCGTGCCTCAGTGGCATTTTGTCGGTGCTGAAATTGTTTTTAAATTATTCTAGTTTATATTATATACATATATGTTTTGTTTTATGTAATAAATCTTAAACTTCATGGAGCATTTGTAGCAGCCATTGGTATAGAATTTTGATATTTGCCTGATATGGCGTTCGAACTCCTCGACTGGGTATGCTTAATAGAAGCAGTGAATCGGTGAGGCACCTTTCCATGCTTGGTGTGACCGCTCAGGGCTTTTGTATGGGTTGACTCGTGTTAAATCAGATAAGCTGTCACCGAATTCTGCACTCCCGTTGCGGCTTTGATCGTGGCATTTCTGTAGCGACTTGCAACTGTGCCTTTTGTCGCAACATCGAGTCAGTGTAATGCTGAACCTTTTCCCATAAACGGCCATGTTTTGAGATCGGAGACGATTTTAGTCTTATAGAGAATTTTATGTTTACACTGTCTTATGAATAGATGTTTTAATCCGTGGAGAAGTATGTGTAGGGTGTGCTGTTTGCTAGTCATAGTTTGGGTGCACTGCACTGTCTATTTGGTTGATAGATTGTGAGCAAAACTGTAGAAAAATGATCCCTTTTAAGAAGAATTTGCTATGAGTTCTTTTACTACTACGGTGTGGCCTTCACTCGTGTATGTCCTCGTTCGTTCCTTTTCTAATTAATAATTTCGCCTTATTTGTTCGTGTATAAGTGGGTTAGTGATTTATTTAAGTGTAGACTGTGCTTCCAATGTCATTGTTTCCTACTGCTCTGTTCGATAATTGGCTCGATAACTAGAGGATGTTATAGGTCTGTCATTTTTGTCGTTTAACTGCTGCAATTTGTGTCATTGTTTCGCGGATATATTCTATATGTAAGAAATCGTTCCTAATAGTGAAAATTTCAAATTTCAGGATTCATGTTTCGTAAGACGTGCGTACAATACGTATCTTGGGGTTATGGGAACACCGATACCATTCTCTGTTTATTTACAAACAGTCTCACACAATATGTCGTTCTGATTGGTTGCCTGACCATCTATTTCAGAAGCTGCCATCTATTTTACGAACTTGAGAAACGAGCAGACTGGTTAGTAGTGGTGAGTTAATAGTTCAACGCCTAAAGATCCAAACTCCCTTGACACCGTCTCGTCACTGCACCATTTTCTGCGGATGAATTTGAAAAAAGTTCTTGAAATGGCTGATATAATAGAAAATTATCCTCCTCGAAATGGCATGCCCCAACTGAAGGCATGCTCTGGGATCGCTCTTTACCTATGCGCGTTCATTTCGTTTTTCAGAGGTGCAGACATGAGTCCAACCTCTTAACCACTCGGCCATCCCTGCCTCAGCGACGCGAATGGATCATCTCCATTTGAACGTGATTTGGCAATCGTGCTATCAAAGTTGCGGTGAACTCGTTCATAACTCCACTTTCTGAGCTGTTACCTGTTGATGAGTGAAAACCAACGGCCAAAAAAGGGGGTCCCGTTTTGCGTTTTCTTGACGGATTTTCTGCTTTTTCGCCACTGGCGTACCATTGAGCACCCACCACGTTGCAATAAACCCCCGTTACAATGAGCCCAAATTTTTCGTGATCGCTGCCTTTAGGTGGTATTGCGCGTTGCGACCGCTAGCACTAAATGAAACTGTAATGGTGTATGGTTTCGTTTTTTCATATGGTAATTTGTAACTTCTAGTCTTGCCGCCCAGCTAACGCCTGGCTCTCCTTCCTCTTGGGGATCGCCCGGCCACCCCATGAGACGCTTTTCAACAGATTAGTCTATATACCTTATGTAGCAATCACGAAAACAAAACACATAAGGTAATCAGCTCACTTTTAGTGGTTATTGGTATATTGGTCACCGAAAATCGTCGACTTTTGCAACTACATCTATAGAGAAAGCGGTGATAGTGCAACGTAAGCACCATGAGACCAAGAGGGCAGGAAGCGGCAGAGCACTCATTGGTGATTGCAGGGGTTCATTGGTTGATTGCACTATCCAATGATAAAAATGGACCTCTGGGGATTCCTCAAAGAATAGAGGGTTTGTTTTCCATCACCGAGTGTCGAAGGCTTATCAAAGCGTCTACTTCAGAAATTTGTGTGTGTAGTGCGCGCCCTTGTGAGAAACCCCCCGAACACATTGACGCAATCGTGGGTAACACTACGGCTATCACGAAAAAGGAGGCAGCTTGCAGAATGCTTCACTCGAGATATCCAGATTTGTGGGTGTCATCAGAATAACGATATCAAACCGAAATAATCTCGACACTGCTGGACTCCAGCCTTATAAATGGATGGTTTCCCTCCCTATCGTTCCACCGTGACTTCCAGCTGCCTCTGCAGCACCATGTGCAATGACCGAGAGCTTGTTGTACGGTGTTTATGTTGCTCTAGTGGGTGTTATCACAATCACGACATCATGACAGAGCAATACCTCAACAATGAATTGAATCTCCGTCCCGAAAGCGATCACCCTTCTCCCCTCTCTTTCATACTCATGTCATCAACATCAGGAATCGTAGATCTTTGAACTTCCCCATTTCTTTTGGCGGTTGGTTTGCTCGCGCACGTACAGACAGATCGACATACACGCCGACACACGTCCCGACAAATCAGCACACCAAGGTTGTGCTTTATATAACGAATAGATATTTATATGATGTGAAGATAGGTGACAAATTTTGCGAAACCTCACAGATTCTTTGAAAAAGGGAAATCTAAGTATTTTCTATGAAGCTGTGAAATTACTCATTCCTGACTAAAGTAGCTGAAGGATCAATCTAGCCACGCAACTTTTTCATGTGTCTTCCAATTTTAACCCATACAGCCGTTTCTCTTATCGAGAATACCCAATCATGTTGTTGCACAGACAACATGGTTGATTGTCGTTCGTTAACAACTTAGCTTTTGTTTTCAAACATCCGCAAACTCCAAATGGGATATTGTGTGTGCGTATGTCAAGTAAACATCATATCAGAAGAACCGGTTTAATTTTTTAATGTTATCATGGACATCAACATTTTTAAATGAATTTGAGAATGGTTCACGAATAGAATTTTCAAGGAGGTACATCTGAAAAGATACTCATTTTTGCGAAAGGCTTCAAAGAGGCTTTTGACTGCGAGTTGAAGATTTGTTTGTGACTGAAGAAGCGGTCGCCTTTTCCGTGGCTATCTCCCAATCATACGGATCATTTATGTCTCCTCCACATGTTTTCGCTGCCTGAAATCTCTTTAACTAAGCGTAGTGCTACACATATCTACTGTATTGGGAGTCAAGATCCTCATGGGTTATTTTGGCCCTCTATCAAAATTTATTTCGCACAGGGAGACAAAGTTTGCAAGAGTCGCACTCCAAATTTTCCTTCCATGAGCAAAAGCAAGTCCCTCACTATTTACATCATCTCCAAGGTACAAAGCCGTTCACATTGACGGACTCCGATGGTGAGACACTTTCCGTAACTGCTGCAGTCTGGAGCAGCAACTGGTGAGAATCTTTAGGAAAATGTGACCCGGCTCTTGTAAGACCAGCGACAAACAAGTCCTGCAAGTTTCCTATGGTTCACGATTTCAACGCAATCCCGTCTTATGGTTAGAAGTAGACACTGGGTGCAATACTGGTATAGGCCGGAGATCATACATAGTGCGGATCGACCAAAACCGCATCGAGCATGTGGGGCAGTATGTTTGATTAGCACCAATACTTGTGCAGGAGTCGTGACCTCATCTTATGTTCACAGTAGCCGACATACCCTTATCTCAACATGGCCTTGAAACGACCCTCATTGTAAAGGTAAGGCAAGGCTAGGGCTACGGCTGGTTTGGACACGATCACGTTCGGATAGCTTTGCGTTGTTTAGTATTTTACTTCTCCTGCGTCGGGTGAAGGAAGCGAGGCATGCTGATATGTCTAGTATTTGAAGTCGGACATTCAGGGAGACATTCCCTCTCAATTTATGGTAAGCCGGAATCGTATGGCCGGCCAGAACTCCACCTGCTGCCAGTGCCGGGGAAGCGCCGGCCTTGACTGTATAATTCACACAAACAATACCTTAAAAGGCAATCAAGGTAGAAGCGGTCAGCATTGGAGGGATAAAGACCCATTTCACCCGCTGACTCGCGCGATAGGCGTTCTCTTCGATTGACCTTATTAGACGCTCACTCTGCTGGGCGGCTGGAGTGGCATGGGAGGAGATAGGCTGACAAGGGCGAACGGCCACGTTAGATCGCCGGAGGCATATCCATAATAAGATTGCTTGTCGGTCAACGCCTTGAAAGGACCATATGTCATTGTTCAACTTTCCCCTCCTACGACCTTCGCTCTTGTCATTTCATCTTTCTTCTCTGCTTAGCGGAGTCGACGGCAAATGAATCGAAGCAGTATGCTTAAAAGGAAGACAAAAGTGTCTATGACGGCTTTTGTGAAATTTTACCTGATAAAAATGAAATTTCAAATCCAAACCAACTAAACCGGACAATCACCTAGATCTACGGCATAATGGAAGGACACAGCAAAGGGCAATTCTATTGATTTCATCTGAAGTGGCGAACCTGCGTTAAGGACTTGTAGATAAAGTCGTAGTCAACATGATCGAAATACTTCAAACTGTCGATGTAATCAAGTACTTTGCTGAGATCTCCCGAGCATTTAACACCAGATAAAGCGTCTTCCTGAAAGTTCCTGATTCAAATCATCAATCGTCTGCTATTCTGTAATCACCTTTTATAGGAAACTTTTTTTGCTCATAAATGAAATTACGAACTCGTTTCGTTGTGCGCATTTCTTCTTTCAGTCTTAGTACGTCGTTCTTACCAGGTATTGATTTCCACACAAGACCTGCAATTGTTGCCAATTCAAGAAATAAAAATTCTAGCCAACAGCATAGATTTGCAGTGATGTTCAATCATCCTACTTATATAATTCGATAAGTGTGTGTGTCACGAAATTCATGGCTCGCTTCTCCACAGCGATGGAAGAGCTGTATTTTGAGTATGATATGTGGGGGGGGGGGGGGAACATATTTGGTGGGGGTCAGAAAGTGATAACGACTGATAAGAGCTGATAAGAGGCGCTAAACGCAAATTTCACGAAATTCATAGCGCGTCCCAGCAGCAGTGAGGCGTTGGTTCCAAGAAGTGATGTAGAGGGTGGGACGGGAACATATTTGGTGGGGACAGAAAGTGATAACGACTGATAAGATCTGATAAGAGGCGCTAAACGCAAATTTCACGAAATTCATAGCGCGCGTCCCAGCAGCAGAGAGGCGTTGGTTTCGATAAGTGATGTAGAGGGTGGGACGGGAACTATTTTTTGGGGGTCAGAAAGTGATATCGGCTGATAAGGATTAATGACAACGAGATGCGTAAGAACACAGAGGCCACCCAAAAGCAGATATGAGATAACGCAATTCATTTCAATATCATTTCACATGCGTTGTTGTCCTTAGCCCAAATTACCATTTGGCCGCTACACTCCCCAGAGTTCCTAAAAATGCACGGTGGATTCGAAGAAACATGATAATCAGCGCTGGGTATTTCCATTTCAACATCATTAGCATCAAATGTTGTACGACCGCTAAATTGTCTGACATTCGATGCATGGTGGTTGTTTACAGACATCACTTTAGCTCCGTACTCCACCGCGCGTATCAAGCGGACAGTGAGCTAACGCATTTCACGAAGCAACTTTTCCTACCGGTGGAATCTAACGCTCCACCGACTGTCCAGTTGCACCGAAGCTTTCGATGCCATGCGCGCGGTAGCGTGCGGAGCTAAACTGGTTTGTTAAAAAAGGCTTCACACATGACCTATACGGTTGTTCCAAAACATGGTTTGGTAGAAAACTTGTGGCAGCACACAGAGCCAACCAGCATTGATCTCGTGAGTATTTAGTTATTTTACAGTGTTCAGAAGTAAGAACTATAGGATAATGAGTTGATTGGCTGTAGGTTATGAAACTATGGAATTGAAAGGAACGTGAACAGATGACAAGACTTATGCTTAGGAAGAGAAGTACTAGTAAAACAGCGATGTCATGTACCTATTGGCTTACTGGTAAATATAAGGTTTTTACGCTGTACTGAATGTGTTGAAGAAGGGCACCTGCTGCTTACATCGTGGAAACATGAATGGATTTGGGGAACTGTTTCATAATGCCTCAACGCTCTACGGTCAGCTCATACACTTGAAGACCTCCCAACTTTTCCAAACTGTATAGTGGCTACTTGGAAGGGTCACAAGGTTCTTCGTTAAAGAACCTTCATGAACATGTTTTTGTTTTCCACTCGCCTTCTTTTAGATGTGCAGGTTTTCCTTAACTACATCATTTTGTTACCGTGATTTGTGGCCACTCTGTACATCACAGAGTAGCTGAGCTAGGCGACAAAAGAAACCTGGTACATACGGCTCATTCTTGGTTTGCTTGGCGTGAATATACATGATAGATAAAATGGTACAACGCTATTACCTCTAGGTATTGTAATATCCAACAACAGGTAAAACCATGATTCGCAGTCATCTTTTGGCCCCATTTCTGTATTTTTGTGACAGGCAATGGAAGCAAAACGTATGGTGCCCTTAACAGTTGTGAAAATACGAGTTTACTGGTCCTTGATTAGCACACAAGAAACGCCAGAGCTCTGCATCCGAAACTTACCTTGAATCTAACCGACTGACGTGGGGTTTTCAGTTCCCCTTTCACATTCAAAATCTTTCGCGCTATACCAAAATCGAGAATATATATCTAAACAGTATTTTGAAGTCAATTGCATATTAGTACTCAACGTCGTTTATAAGGAAGGAGGTGGTCAAGGGAATATGAGAATACGGAGCCTTTTTGTAGAAGAGGACCAGGATCTCATCCAGTAAGGGGGAGGGCAGGAGAGCTACAGCTGCTGTTGCCTAAGAAATTCCAGTCTTTGAAGTCAATTAACCGGTGTATGTGAACAGTTCCACTTCCGCTTTTACACTCACCCCGGAGCTTCCATCCCCTGCGAAAAATTGAACCATTCAAGGCGATATGAGCCACTGCATCAAATACCCCCTCTGGTCTAATGGATGGGACCCGATGGCTGTTTCTATCCACTCACAACTCTTTTCTTAGCTCCCAAACCACATGCATAGTTGGCCGGCTTCAAATCTCGATGAATGAATCCATATTTATGCAGGTCTTCGCATGCTTCCAAGCACTGTATACCAGCACCCATTGCAGTAGACACCGTAAAGACCTGAACAACAAACACATGAATACGCGGCCCGGAACAACTCTGTTGGGTAGACCGAACTAGCGATGCACCTTCAACGGGCGTTCCGCTTTCAGATCGGCCAGATTTTTGCCAACCATCTCCATCACCAGAAAGAAATACGTTTCCTTTTTGCCTCTGTCGATGATTGCAGTAAAATGTGACTGCTTCCTTTCAGCAGATACGAGTTTAAGAATGGCGACCTACAAAGGTTGCAAAACTCTTTTAATAGCACTCAATTATGTATTTCTTTTTCATGCTCAACGTAAGATAACAGGAAAACTGCGCTTAGCACAAATCCGTAAAGCCTGTAAAGGCTTCATTTAGCAACCAGAAATTGCTGTTATGGCGTTCTAATGCTGCATTTGTAAGTGCATATAGTGAAAGCAAAGGCTCCACAGCGTGATTGTAACGTGAAGCAATGTGTGGCTACTAACTCACCGGAAGGTCGGTAGCGCTGAAAATTAAAGACTTTTCTCAAGCAAAGGGCGAGTCTACATAAAAGCAGCACTGAAGCGAGACGGGACTTGGAAACTAGGGAGCAAAAATGACTAGGAGGTGGTAAGACCAACGCACTCGCAATGAAAGGCGTACACATCACCTGTATCACCTGTCGTCCCGTTGATCATCGAATTGCTCGAGCGGGCGCCAGCAACGTCTCCATTCGTCCCTGTCGCGTGCAAGAGTGGTCCAGTGGATCCTCCTTGCTCGAGGGACACGAAGTCCTTCATTCCTTTCGTTCAGAGCTTTCGTGAAGAAGTCTGACCATCGGGCCGGCGGTCGTCCAGGTGTTCGTTTGACGTCCCGAGGGATCCAGTCGGTAACCGCT